CGTTTTTCGACTGAGTACAATAAAATCATTCCATTTAAGCAACTGAAATTGGCTTAGGGCTAAGCGATTTGACAATTTATGAATCTAGTTTGTGTCACTATTTATACGAATAGTTCATATTATCAAAAGCGATTAATAACACGAAATAACATAAAATAAAATAAAACAAACAAACAAACAAACAAAGAATAACAAGTGATATAACATGTTTTACCATCAATAAGAGAGTTACTGCAGCAAGTGCTGCCAGCGAATTGCTCAATATCAAATAAAAGAATTACAATGGATTTAGTACTCATATCTCTGTCAATTTTCTTTCTACAATGATACACAAAATGGATGCTCACCCTAATAACCTTTATATGGGAACAGCGGCAACCCAATACATGTGTAATTCCCAAGGTACTCCTATAATGCTTAAAGTATTCAATCACTATTAAGAAAAAAGTGTACAATATTAAGTTCTACACATTCAACGATCTGATTGTAATAATCATGCATGTTCGTGCATGCGATCAACACTACTAGAAAATAAATATCAAGCCCAAAATAAGTGCCTAGGCACCTCTGTTGGCCATCTCATGCTTCGATTACCACAAACTTTGAATTTCCTGAAAGTGAAAAAATGAGGGCGTGAGATAAAATACCAATAAGCATATAAGTATGTCGGTTAATATTTTGTACATATTTCGATTAATATTTTGTACATATTTTAAAGATCTTCATACATATATTGGGAGACATTAAATTTTATATCGAACATAGGTGGTATGAAATTTTCATGCGTAGCGCTAGTGTCATGCATTTTTTATAACATGATTATACTACAAGTGTACAATATCAAGTTTTGTAATATATGAATGAAGTTAAGAGTGTCAAATCCGCGCGGATTGTATGTAATTCAAATTATTCTAATTACTATAATTATATATAGCCTTTATCTTATCCATACGAATGAGTTTTAAAATCAATATTTTTAAACTAATCTAATGATGAATATTGTGATGAATTCAACGATATCCAAACAAGTTTGAAAAATTACTTCAGATAAGAAAGCCTAAGATTTAATTTTACCTAACTATCAAATATCATTCTCAATTATCTAGTTATCACTAATCAACTTTCCCATGTTTATAAGCAAAAACTCAATTGTATTTCTATCCCCTCTCTCGAGTGACGACTAGAAATTAATCATAGATTTCAATTCCAATAACTCTATTCTGAATTAAAATCAAGAACTTTTTAAACTCATGATTCTTTTATGGAGTAATCTTTATAAATTTTACACTTTCTCTTGAAACCCATCAAATCTATGTTGTATTAATCTTATGATTGCGCGTAAATTTCCCTCTATTGAGTGTTGAAATCGACTAGCATCTATTCATTCAATTAGTGACCAGTTAATTGAAAGTATTAATATCATAATACAAATAAACGGAATGGAAAATTTCATAGAAATAATTAAAATAAATTCAAATCATACTCTTAAATTTTTGCTAATCAAACCCTAGACGAGTTATTTAGTTCATAATAAGAAACAAGAAATCTATACAATTCAAAATAAACAACATGAATTGTCCGATTGAGTTCTCCCCTCAATTGTGGTCTTTAGGTTTATATTTATAATATTTCAAAGTCTTGGAAGAGTTAGGGTTGGATTGGGCCAAAAAAATAGTCCAAAAAATTCAAAATTCCTTTTTTCTCGCCCGGTGGTGTCACGATGCTGAGTGGAACAATAGCATTATCCATCCTTCAGTATTTTTATCATAACTTCTTCTCCCAATATTCGATTGAGATGATTCAAAATGCGTTGAAAAATAACTCAAAGTGATACAACTTTGCTTTGGATATCCAGATCGAATGTTTGCTACGTCAAAAAAAGGTCTTAATATGAGACTAAAATTTCGGAGCATAACTTTTTCGATTGGAAATTAATTGTGATCATACTTTGACTAAATTTTATCCCTTTGAATTTTTCTTTATTCAACTGATTCCTAGCACTCTCGAGTCTTCATTGTGATGTCCGACATAACGTTTGAGTATTTTCACTTTGGTCCCCGAACTTTGGATCTCTTACAATTTAGTCCATTTTCTAATTTTACCAACTTTTGTTTATTTTCTTCAATTTCATCACCCTATGTCACAATATCAAAAATACATTAAAATGATCAAAAACTCGTAGGAATTAGCTAAATATCAACTTTAAATGGTGTCCAAAATATGAATGAAATATACTCATCAACTACTATATTTTGGTTCAATCTTAGAATATACATTACTAAAAACTCAGCGCATGTCTGTAGCTAGCTGAGATCAGATTACGGCCTCTTTTCCTTAGACAATCATTCTACATAAGCAAGTTTAGATATAGGGATTAAAAGTAGGGAAATATATAACGCAACATCACTAGACAGTTTGGGAAAGGAAAAAACCTTAGGCTGCAGTTGGTTTGGCGTTTTCAGGTCATTCGTTTTCGAAAATGCATTTTCGAAAACAAGTTAAAATTTATAACTGAAAATGCAAAACAACTTTTTATCCTTTTGAGCGTTTTCAGTTATAAATTCCCAAAACGCGGAAAACATCCAAAACATGCCGTTGTCGAGAAAAACTAAAAATCGTTTTGAAATTGAAAATGGAGAATGAAAAATTAAACCAACTGCACCCTTAGCCACGCAGGTGCTGCCAACACAAACCTATCCAGCCCCAATTTGCAATCCCTATTTTGAATAGCATTATTATTCCTTAAAAATGGAAATGGATTTCTAGCAAGAAAAGCAAAAGTAATTCTCAATGCCCTTTACGAGGTCGTGATGAGTTAAACTATAGTTTTACCCTCTAGCTAGTCCTAAAAGTTAGTCTTTCGCCATTGCTTTTATTTTGCCTTTCTTTCCCCTACTTGGGACTCATAATCAATATTCCAAAAAATTTAAAGTAAGCATATAAACCCACTATCATGTAAAAGCACTTATACACTTACATTTACATGTATCTTGGGAAAATGATAAGAGAATTAATGAAATGTATTGGGATTTCAACCCTTGATCTACGTGCTAACGAATGTAGTATATATACTCGTATTTGTGTGTTTGAATTTTAAAGAGAAATGAATGTGTGTGGGAACAAAACATAGGATACATACTTATAGGCAACACTATGCTTTGGGAGTCCTCATCCAATGCAACTTTGAATTTTAAAAGTGATAAAATCCTATAATTATCTCAATCATCTTTAAAAATTAAATAAGTTTTTTTAACTTAAAAGAGATGAAATCAAAATATTATCTCGACCATTTAAAATTCCAATGTAATTAAAAGGGATAAAATTAAAACATTATCTCAACTACCAAAAATCTTAAAGAAATATATTATTAAATAATTAAATAATCGATGAAAATTTATGTTTATTTGAATTTCAACAACTTGAGCTTAAGTTCTATGAATTTAGATTTTTTGAATTGAAAGGAAAACTAATAGTTCTGGACTATCATTCCACCTTATGGACTTTAATGTGACTAACAAGACTAAAAATATTAACCAACTCTATTTTCTGAAAAATTAGCTCCACCAGTATGAGGTGTTATAGTTGGCCTTGTTTGGAGTGCTATCATACCTAACCTGCTAAAAAGCGATACCGAAGTCTCTGAATCCCTTCTGACGAGCGATCGTATCCTTTGATGTAAAACAATTAAATTAGATGTAAATATTTAACAGAAAGGTATTTTAGGTATGAGTCAGCTGGAGCTGTCTTTTTCTTTGAGGTCGACGAGAGTACCACCTCATATCCCTAGAAACTTATCTATCATTAATCTTCGGTTTTTCAACATGCCATTGTCATGATGATCATGCAAATTCTATTGACAATCAGGTTAGGCGCATTAGGCAGTCGACACATATTCAATGGTTCAATGCTACTGTTGCCACTTCGGCCAACGCACAAGACCAGACTTCACCATAAGTAAAATGCAAATAGGAAATGTATTCCACCCAACAACAGTAAATGTACTTCACTAGAGTTTCCAAATTTTATAGACTAGTAAAAAATGAAGCCACCAGCCTTGACATTGCACAAGAATTTGACTTCATGTTTCCGTCTCCAAGCTTTCATGATTTTACATACGTTCTTCCACCAGTGTTTAAGATGCTCTTCCAAAAATCGCCCCGTAGCACATCCTTTCATTATAACGTAGCATAGCCAAACATATCCTATAGCAGTCCTTGAATCTCTCACCAAACTATATATATTGTGACAAAGGCATGTCCTACCCAAATCTCCTACTTCAATTATAACCATCAACTTCATTTTTCGTGGTTTTGTTATTAGATGGTCGAACTGCCAACCTCCTAGAGTTGGTCTTGTGAAGATTATCATCAAAATCTCCAGACTTTTCCCTACTTCAGAATCCAATACCAAGTACTGACAAAGCAATGTCAAATATATCCACATTTCCATCAGGCATCAGCATTCATATTTGGAGCTCCTAATGGTCATCACCAAGACATTACCAAATGAGAGAAAAGCTGGGAAAACTACACATGGAAAAAAAAATGGAATATGCAGCGACATAAACTATTTTACTAAAGCAAGGGCTGAAATTCCTCGAGAACATCTACTCCTGTAGACCATCCCAAGCAGCATTGTATCCTCTTTTAACTACTAGCATATCAGCAGTGACACATTCCATGTCATTGACCTACTGTTTAGTACTGCTTGGTGAATTTGGTCATCTCTTTTTATCCTACCATCCATTTATTTATATTAAAATTTCGTTATGTTCAAGAAATGTTTATGTATTCTGTATTTGTTAGTAGATCACGGGGAGAACTGAATCAGTGTGCAATTTCATATAATTCTCTTAAACCATCCAGTCTAAAGGTGCAAAACAATGAGAAATGAAACAATGAAACATTAAGGAGTTTACTAATGAAAAGTCAGAATTTTCACAGAGCATCATCTCTATACTCCATACTAGATTGACAATAACTCGAAGCCAATTCTTGGTTCAAGGAACAACTGATAGCATTAAGTGTTAAAGTAGATTACGTGAATTGAACTGATGATATTAACTTACAGATAGCTTTATAGTAACTGATTTTTACATACTTTTCTCTGATAGAACATCATAGGTTAAGAAAGATTACCAGGAGAGACGAGCATCCATTTGGCGACCGATCAAGGTATCAAGCCAAATTGGAAAGGAGTCGAATAAGACTTGAAACCTAGTCTCCTTCAGCTACTGAAAACTGACCTCTTCTTTGCTTCCTTTGTTCTTCCCTAATGAAGCAGAAGATCATAATAAAACAAAAGAATACACCAAATCACTGGACAGAACAAGCCATTCAATAAGCTTAGCTCCCAACTCAGTTGTCAAAGAAGAAAAACAAATAATTTTCAGATTGTTTCACATTATATTCTTAACAAGAATTGTAAAAGATAAAACTTAAACCCCAGTTGACACAAATGGAAAAATACAATGAGAATGATAAATGGAAGAGGACAATAATAGTAATGATGTCAATTGTCCTCAGATATGAATTTCATGATATCACCATGAAAACTGGAATTCAACGGCCTATTTTTTCTTATTACATATTTCCTCCCCAATTCTATACTATACTCACTCAAACCCTCCTTCCCACATTTATTCCACATGGCCTCACCAAATCTCCGATGCGCAAAGTATGCATCCACTTCCACCGCCACCACCTTATCTCTTCCGTCCCCGGCCGTCACCTCCACAGGCAGCCTCTCGTAATGTCCATCATCAACTCTCTCCAGCTCGTCCAGCCGAGCCAGGCCCCGATTCGACGACACAGAGTATAGCTCGCCCCGAACCCGGTGGCCAGACCCGGGAAGGTTGATCAAGTAGGGGATCCCGTGTGGCCCAACGACGAGCGGAAAGGACTCCACAGTGGAGTAATTGCCCAAATAAACAGCGTCGCACGTGCGCATCAAATCCTCGATCAACGCGTGGTTGTGGAAGCCGCGCTTCAACGTGCCATAAGTGAAGATGAGGCTGACGTCATCTTCTCGTTTACGATTCGCCATGGAATTGCCGAACCTGTTGCAATTTGAAGAGATCCGAAAATTCGTTGTACAATTGGAGAAAAGAAGAGAAACGATACCGTTTAAATTGGCAAATTTCACCTAGGGCACTCAACACAAAGGGCGTAGTAAACCTAGTTTAGCTAATGTTTATAAACTTCTTATAATAAGGTTTAAGCTATTTGTGTTATAAACTATGGAGAAAATGATAATAAAAAGATAATTCAATAAACTTGTGTATTTTTTTAAGTTTTTTTTTATAATTAAAATCAGTACATATAAGATTCAAAATGAAAGTTACAATCGAAATGAAATAAACTATCTAAACTAGATAAGACTTGTCTATGCATAATGATAAGACTACATAATCATCAATATTTGTCTTATAGTTTTCTACAATAACTATGTCATTAGAATCTTGTTTTGCAAAAAAACTACATGGGACAAAAATGTCAACAAATATTAAAAAAAAAAAAAGTACAAGTAATTTGAAGTAATAAAATGTTACCTTATTATAACTTTGTCAAGAAAACTCAGTAGGATAAAACTTGATTGAAAGAAAAATAGTACAGCTATTCCACCTGATTTCAATTCTTATATCAAGCGATTACGTTTTGTATATCAATGTCTTTAAATAACACTGTCTCCATACGAAATATTTATCAACAATTGATGATCGTAATAACATGATGAAAGGAAAAATAATTATTATTGATCTCTTTAAGAATCTCATACATATAAAAGCATCATTTTGAGGGTAAATATCTTATATGTTGTGAACATTTATCACCCAAAGAACATACCTAGTTAAAATCTTATAAAGAAAAATCCTATGAGAAAAATTTTAATAAATGGAAAAGAGTACATTATTCTTTTTAGTACATTGCAAAAAGTTTTCTCATAAAAACCTTGAGAGAAAAATCTAATAAGATAAAATCTTGTTCAAGGGAAAATGAGTCAATGCGTATTTACTCCTCATAATGATATCACTTGGACATATTGAATCACTAGAGGTGATATTAATGGTCATGTCCGATGAATTAACTATAATCATATTTATTACATTGTATTAATTCATGCACTGTCAGGCAAACTCTTTATCTTTGGCAACTAATGAAAACTCTCAGTTCAACCAAACTTTGTCTTTGGCATTTAATGAAAAGTCATAGTTTGGCCGAACTTTAAAGAGGAAATTAGGCCCAATACCCTAAAAAATTAACTAAATTGATTAATATCCTAATAACTAATTAAATCAATAGAGAATGTGTCATGCTAATGTGGTTTTCAATAGTGGCGAAGTGGGAATGTTGTGGTAGTGGTGTTGATGCTACTTATGGTGGTGGTTGTGGTGGTTTGGGGCTGCTACGGTTTTCAATAGGGATGGCGTCGAGGTGTGGTGGTGCTGATGTTGCCTGTGGTGCTGGTAGTAGTGGTTTGAGACTACTATGGTTTTCAACAATGGTGGCATCGAGGTATGGTGGTGGTTTTGATGCTCCTTGTTGTGATGGTAGTGGTGGTTTCTTTGTTGGGGGGTTTTAGGTGATTTTTGTTAGTTGTGCAATAATTGTGTTGGCTTGAGTATAGCTGAAGAAGACAAGTTGAAGAAGAAAGGACCCAATATTTTGAAGATCTTGATGAGCATATAATTCTGTTATAATTTCATTTTCAGTAGAGAAAGTGGGGTCAACGAGGATAAAGAACGGTGAGGAACAGCTAACGTGTCTGGAGGAAGTGGTGGTTGGACTAAACCAACAAAATGGCGTGGTCTTTCTTTCCCAGTATTAGATATACCCAAGTATTAGATATACCGAAGTGTGCATGGGTGTGAGTATCAGTTTTGAAGCGTGTGTGACTAGTGTAAATGCATGAAGCTTGACATGGATAAATTAGATGGCAAAACATGTTGAATGATTTGTTTGATTTTGAGAAATAAAAAATTATCTTTGAAATTAGAATATTAGTGTTTGTGTCAACTTTTTTTTTTTTTTTTTTTAATCTTGTTATTTTTTGAGTTTTGTAACTTTTTTATCTTCTTAAAAAAGTGACACCAAATGGATTGTGCTATTTTGATGTTTGTCAATTTCTTTTTTATAATTTATGTCACTTTTTTTGAATTTTGTCAATTTTTGAATGTTTGTCACCTTTTTTTAATTTTGTCACTTTTTTTGAGTTTGTGTCACTTTTTTTGAATTGTGAAAAAAGTGACACAAATTTTATAAAAAAGTGACATTATGCAATTTTTTAATTTTACACAGTATTTTTTACTTCTAAAAAAACTTTTTATATAATTTTTCAAAACAACTCTAATTTTAAGGGTATTTTTGTAAATTGCCCAAATTTAAATATCAACTTAGTGGTGTAAAAATGGACGGATATATTGGAACCAATTCGTCTAGATATTGAAACGACATGACCCAACAACATTAAAGGACCAGCCCATGATGATTCACATGCCGGGCCTAGATCGACCCACAAAAATTTCTTAAATGTGAGACCGGCCCACAACTCGGATTGATAAACGCTGCACTGTCCATCAATCATTCAAGCTCGATTTTTTTTCCCTAGTATTCACCTGTCATTAAAATCTAAAAAGTCAACATTTTTTTTTAAAATATTAAAATGGGGCCAATGCTTAAAGAGTGGACCCAAACATTTAAAACGGAATGACTCGAATTTTTAATTTACTGGGCCACTTTGATTATGGGCCTATTCATGGTCACTTTCAACGGCCCAGACCACTTTTTAACAATTAGGTCCTGAGTGGGCCATGTTAGGCTCGCCCAGTTTGACACAATTATATCAACCTATGAGGTCGATTAATGACTAGGAAATATTCGATAAATGATCGCTAAAATTCTGTGAGTGCACAATATTGTAACCAAGCAATAAAGTAGTGAATAAAGTATCGTTCTATTAAAGACCAAATACTTAATCTAGTTCTAATTAATATTAACTATAATAATCAAGTTGTGATTTGTTGATTTCATAAAATTATCTAAATTACTTTAACGAACAATTAAGAAACGTTTGTAAAGCTGATTAATAACAAGCGCTAGAATTTCGAATTCCCATTTATTATTTTGTTCTATTACAACTCAAGACCATGATGATACTTTTTTAATCTTGTTAATCAATATTCCTATTTTGTTAAATAATCTCTCTCGAATAGAATTCAACAAAATCCTTACATATAACTTTTCTATATCTTTGTGAAAGACGTGAATATGAAAAGATTCATTAAAAACAAGAACACCCATTTAAATCTTGCAAGGTATAGTGGTTTATTGCTATACCTATCAGACACAACTTCTTTGGACATGAGAGACTATTGTTATGCTTCTTTCCATATGTATGACTATTTGGTTGTCAGCTAAACAAAATGTCACGCAAGCACCTTTGTTGCCTCATTACCTGAGGCGAATGTATAGTGTCACATTTTCCTATCTGTTTTCCTGAAGCAATGAGATTAAATTGCGTTGCCTTGCTTACTCTCTCTTTTGAGGGGCTAACCCACCAACATGTTCTCGGTAAAAGGTGACACAACTCTTATCAGGCACATCATGGGACATGATATTGTCACTCCCATGATGATTGAGAGGGACTCACTCCTTAGCCACGCCACGTAGGCTTCTATGATCCGAGGCAGTTGAGGTCCAACCCTTTGTGCTTTGCACAAGTTGCAATCTCTAACACCTTGAGCAACGTGTAGTTTGATTGAAGTGACATTGGTTTGTAATCAAATTCTTGCTAATCCATCTAAAATAGGTTGTGAGCGGTCACTAGGGGCGACAATTTGGCTCATCGGCTTAGGCCGCCCGTTGCTCGATCCGAAAAAAGTCCGAGACAATCAGGCTTGAGTCTCGACTGGCCCCATTTTGGGAGGATGGCGAGCCCGAGTTGGTCCACGAGCCTTTAAAAAAAACCACCAAAAAGTCAACAAAATTGCTGCCTTTTAAAAGGCAGCCGTAGCTGGTTGCCTTACAATGCTGCCTTTTAAGACATCTTAAGGGGGAAAAAAAAAAGCAAATAAAAAAGTGAGTCTGCTCAGCTCTGCTCGGAAAGGCCCGAGCCGAAAGTTTGGTTCGAGCTTAATTTTTCGGGCTCGGAAAAAAGCTCGTACATCGAGCTCAAGCTTGAGCCTCAATTTAAGCTTGAGAGCCGATTCGGCTCGATTCGAGTCGTTAACATCCCTGGAGGTCACACGTCTTCGGTAGCTACTATGTTACATCTTTTGAGCTTGATGCCGTTGGGATAAAGTCACATATCAAGCACTCAAGGGGCCTCGTTTGCATAATTGTTATGTATAAATATGTATCATTTGAAGGTAATGAAAAATTGGTAATTTGCAATGTCAACTCAAATATATACTCAACTCCTGTATTCTCATTTTCTCGTATTTCTCCCATACCCAAATTATTGTCCATATTTTGACTTGAGTAGCAAGGTGCATATGATCGTGATCTCTACCTTTTTTCTTGGATGTGTGATCTGTTTGGCGCTTGGGAGTCCCAACAAATTCACAAGTCAACACATACCATACATATGCTTAATAGTTAATATAAATGCTTTTTTGAAGTAAATAATTTTATAAGAATTATTATTCTTCAATTTTTTTTTTATTCCAAAGATTTTATTTTCATATTTGTAATTTTATTTTTCTCTCTGGCATTAAATTGAGCAATACCATATAACTAGGGTCATCGCATGTCCCTCGTGACATGCGTTTTTTTTTTTTTTTTTGACAAGAAAAATAAATTTTAGGTTTTATAGAAATTATTATTATTTTTTAATTTGAGAAATACCAAGAGAAGTGACCCAGATCCTCGTGCACCACGGGTGCGGAGTGTTCTAACAAGCTTTAGAAATATGGCAGCCATTTCATATCCTCAAAAATGACAATCTCTTTTAGTAAATTTTGAAAATATATTAACTATATTAAAAAAAAAGCATAAACAAAATATAATTGTAGAGTAATGCTATTTATCATCAGCATTAGTGGTGAGGTCACTATGCTATCATCCCATAAAGATGAAACACACTTTCATTATTACCAGTGTTCATTACTATTGTTAATGAATAACATTACTCATATTTAAGTTTGTAAAGAAAAATATTGTTGAATATTTATAATGTGCGGACAAATCATAAATAAGATGCAAGGTTTTTTCTACAAATCATAGTCCTCTTGTTATAATTCTAAAATCATCATCGAGCACTAATGATATACTATCAACCCAACTTCAAGTTATATATTTGGTATTGATTAATTATTTTGTCATCGAAGAATGATCAACACATCACTTGTATCATAAAATTATGCCGATTCTGTTCTATTCCGCTTCTAAAATTTGATCATATTTCACAAATATCTACCAATACTAATGTGGCGAATAAAGTTCAAATTTTGGTCCATTTTGAGTAAAGCTACCATTCTTGTTTAATTGGCCTATAACCATCTTCTTCGAACCATAAGAGACCCCACAACATGTCTGTCTCTCTTTGGTCAGCCTACTAATTTTAGCAATATCAATAGGAGAAGGGGGATTTGAGTTAACTGGATCTCGATTACCTCTCCGAAAAAGGGCTGCTTAAAGAATAGATAAAAGGAAGGTTTCTGCACAAGATAGCACAACCCAAACTTTGAAATTGATGTGGTTGAGACGTGTTCTAATTCATTACAGTACTAAGTACTTACGACAACAATTAAAATTAAAAGAAAATAAAGAATATTTCACAATCATGCAATTAAAAGTGTACACCAAACTATTACAGCAAATAAGAACACAGCCCTACCATCCGTTATTTGCTAGGCCAAACCCCATAAAAGCCCATCAGTGGTTTGAAGAATGCCAGTTATATCTTCGTTTTTTTTTTTCCTTTCAATTTCTTTCTAAATACTAAAAAAGAAATATAATTTCTTGTTTCCTAACTAAGAAATTCAAACCACCCCACAAGAAAGAAAGAACGAAAAAAAGCGCAATAAAAATACAAGTGTCATCACGACATATCCACGAGACGTCGAGGTTAAATGGAGTAAAAAGTTACTTATCGTACAAGCAAAATATACTAGAGTAGACTTAAAAATGAATTGTTTTACGTGTAATCTTATTTTCAAATAATCTTAATCAGAGTGTACTCACATTTAAGATTATTATCTCAATTGGCACAAATATTAATAAGAGATAAGAGGAACCAGCTGTATATTTCATTATCGTTTCGTTGTTAAGAGTATTATCTCTTATTTGATCCATTTGAATTTTATGTTCACAATAGTGATCGGATGTATTCATTAGATATAATTGAATTCGCAAAAGTTTATAATTCCATAATGGAAGTTTCTATTTGAATATCATTTTATTCAAACTCATTTCCAATCACATATTTTTAAATAAAATAACTTTAAACCCTCTTTTAAAATTAGTTTCGCTTCAGCACCCGTTGCTCTAATTAATTGTCCACATAAATTCAAAAAATTTTCATGTCTTTTAACACTATATTAAAAAATATAATTTATTTATAAAATCTATTAAGAAAAATGGACACAAATGCGAGCTAAATATTGAACTCCTAACTGAAATTCAAGAGAATGTCAACAAATCCTGCCATGTTCAAGCAGCAATGTGCTTATTATATTGTCCATGTGAAGGAATATTGTTACAAAGAGTCGCTATTTGATGGCGGAGATCCCAAACGAAACTCCCATATTTTACAGATAAATAAAGATGTCTTTGTTGACTGGTTTCCCCGTACAAAATTTGTTGGCTGTGGCCGCCTCCACTTCTATAAACAGGCTCTCCATTTCTCCACCTCCACTCAAATCTCTCCTCGTTAATCGATCCACCTCTGCCGGAAGAAAATCTTTTTCCCTCTTTGTGTCGGGATCCTATTCGTCTGTTGCTTCCTCCTCCACCGCTATGGGTGACGCCGCCGCTGATTCCGGTATGGATGCTGTCCAGAGGCGCCTTATGTTCGAAGATGAGTGAGTGATAGATTTTCTACGGACCCTTTTTCATTTAAATATAGTCATTTAAATATAGATACGTGCAAATAGACTTATAATAATACGTAGACATTTATTTTATGTGCTGAAAAATGGGGTTCTATTGAGTGGGCTGTGATGATTTGTGTGTTTTATGGGTTATGATCATCTGGGTTTTCGGATTTTGAACTTAAACTTTAGGATCGTTGCTTTTCCTCTGGCTTTTTTGATCTTGAAAGGATGTTTTTGTTTTTGAAAAGTTTCGGTGGAAAAATACAAATAATTCTTTATCCAGATGTTGCAATCTTCTTTTGTTGATATCACTTTATCTCCTTTTTTAAAAATTTTTGGAAAATTCCTGTGTGTTCCAATGTTAGGGCCTGATGGCGGTAAGAGTGGGTTTTCTCTCTCTAGACACAAACAGAGGCTAATAGATAGGGATATAGATATATAATCAAATATATTTCCCCTCTTTTATGTTTGATTTTGCACTGGTACATCAGAGTGAAAATTTATTAGCTTCAGCTGTTGTGTAACTTGTGTTGATTGATGACAGTTCTTTCACTTTTGATAACTTTGCAGGTGTATTTTGGTGGACGAGAATGATAATGTAGTAGGTCATGACACAAAATACAATTGTAAGTTGGATCTTACATCTTTAAGATTTGATCATTGAAACTATTTGGATTAGTTTCTGATATGAGATTCAACATTATTTACTCTAATAAAAGCAATCAATTTTTTTACCATGCCAATTATGATCCTATTTTGGCCTGTTATTTCTTCCTTTTATTAAATTCTGGATTTGGAATCCCCAGAAACCTGGAACTCTTTTGTTGCCACATGTTTTATGACCTCTACTTTCTTCTGCTTGATGTAGATCAAATTTATTTATAGTGCTGGCTTTTCTACATCTCTAACATGCAGGTCACCTGATGGAGAAGATTGAGTCTGAAAATTTGTTGCACAGAGCTTTCAGTGTATTTCTCTTTAACACAAAATATGAGCTGTTGCTTCAGGTATGTGTCAATCTGGGGTGTTGGATGCATTTTGCTACTAGGAACCTAATTGGAATTTAAAAGCTTATCTTTTCCTCCAAGAATTATGAGCATAATTGATGTTCCACTGATGTGTATCATTACAACCTCAGTGATACGTTTATAAATATTTTAGGAAAATTTAGGGGATTTATATACAAAAAGTATTCTCATACATATTGGGAAACATCATAAAATAGGAATCTTCTTAAAAACTTCCTTTCATTCAAATTTAATATCTCAGACTGGCTGGGAACAAAATTTAGAGCGCGAGGAAAACGAACTGTTACTTTTACAACTTATCTAAGTGTATCATTATTTTGAACATTCGACACATTGTGTAAATGCAACTTATGCAAGAGTTGCATTGACGTCTTTAGCTCTCTCATTACGTACATAACCTTGTCCAGTCTCCTCTTTCTGCAACTTTCCTCGATATTGCTACCTTAACTGGAGTCTGAAAAACCTTCTTTCTTCTTTCAATCCTTTCTTCTACTTTGTGGATAAACAATTCTTTTGCTTCAAGCTCAACATGCTTATCATGAACCTCCAGTTCTTTGTTTCACATTTCTCCAAACAGGACTTAATCATTTCCTTTCTAACATTTTTTTTTAATTTATTATTATTATTTTTTTCGTAGCAGAAGTACGAATAGTGTGTAAGATTGGGAATGTCTGAAGGTTGGAAAAAAGTTGTTGTAACCTCTTCTAAAATGCTACAATGGAGATCAAATTTTTATTCTTCCACATAAATCATGTATAATTATGAGATTATACGGCAGTTAATGTTATGCCATGCTTCCTAATTCAGATTCTAGACTTAAAATTATGATAGTAGTTGACTCACACTCAACTTTCTAGGAAGTAGTGAACTCTTCTTGACTTGTACCTGTGTGTATTAGAATAATTGTTTGGAAATTTGCTTGTATTGGTTGCTGGAGTAATGCAAATTTAGTGATATTCACTTATGGGCAACCAAATTAAAACCATAGTCCTTGCCAGCAATCTTCAATCATGAAAAAGAAAATATAAAATCATTTTAGTGGCTCATTGATGGGAGCGATGAGGCATTCCCACTGAAAGTATGCAATGCTACTTCAAGGCTATATACATTTTATTTTTTGAAGGAACGGGGATATGCATTTGTTAAGCTACAAATGCAGCTTATTAGGTTTTGAGCATAGTGCTCTGGAAGCTATCTGATCTATGCTTGCTTATCATATAAAATTGAGCAATAGTGAGTGATTTTGGCATGCGAACAGATTACATAATTGTGATTACTTCAAAATCTTCTTCCAATTGTCCTGTGGATTTATGCATTTGATTATTGACTGTTATTATAACCTTTATAAGCACAATGAAATGATAAATGTTTGTACGTTGTGACAGAAGTAGAAACACATTTATGGATGGGTATGGAGTGTTTTGTCCCAGCCTGTTCTCCTTTTGTTTTGATTCCTCTCAATTCGCTCAAGCCTCTCTATCCTTGACAGGCTTTCCAAACATAAATGTCTATTCGGTGAAATACACTAACATAATTTTTGAAAGGAAATTTAGAATGATGTATGGAATTTCCATCTAAGAATCTGCAATAATCTATATAGAAGGCTTCCTAACGCATTTTGCTTGTGTTTCTTATTGTGCAGCAACGGTCTGCAACAAAGGTCACCTTTCCTTTGGTGTGGACAAACACCTGCTGCAGCCACCCCCTTTACCGAGAGTCCGAGCTTATCCCTGAGAACGCACTTGGTATTTATTCTGTTCTGTTTCATTTGCAGAAATAATTCTACACAGTTGCCTATCCTTTTATTTACAATGCTTGTATTTCAAATATAAGGGGTGAGGAATGCTGCCCAAAGGAAGCTCTTGGACGAACTCGGTATTCCGGCTGAAGACGTCCCAGTTGATCAGTTCACACCATTGGGCCGCATGCTGTACAAAGCGCCATCTGATGGAAAGTGGGGAGAGCATGAACGTAATAATAATACATTGATTTATATTTGAAGCTATTCTTTGATGGTAACTTTTTGTAGTCACAGACTTTAATTATGATCTTCATAACATATAACACAACAGCCACTTAGTGCATGTTTTGGTAAGATGGATTAGATAGTGATGAATAATATATTATGGAAGAAAAAGAAAATAATAAAATCTTTATTATACTATCCACATACCAAGCATTCACTTGTCATTTTCTCGTTGTCTCTACATGTGCTCATTTATTTGGTATTGTCTGATCCACCTTGTCTTTTATTTTTATTTTTATTTATTTATTATTATTATTATTATTATTTTCTCTGTAGTTGATTACCTACTGTTCATTGTTCGGGACGTTAATGTCAACCCGAATCCTGATGAGGTAGCTGATATCAAGTATGTGAATAAAGAAGAGTTGAAAGAGCTGTTGAGAAAAGCAGATGCTGGTGAGGGTGGTATTAAGCTTTCCCCATGGTTCCGACTAGTTGTTGACAACTTCCTGTTCAAGTGGTGGGATCATGTGGAGAAAGGGACTATAAGCGAAGCAGCCGATATGAAAACCATTCACAAGTTGACTTAAAAATGCAGTCGGCTAAGGATATGGTATTTCATGGCAGATTTTCAGTTTCTTGAAATAAGTAACTTGTCTGGTAAGATGTCCTTGAAACCAATAAGTTGATTATGCTTGTTATATGAGAATGTTCTTTTGAATTTGCTCAGCTTTTGACATAGACTACAGTATTTGATTTGGCTTTTAAATTATGATTAAGTAAAGAAACTCTTTGTTACACTTTCATTTCTATTATGGTTTAATTTACTTCAAGTTTTTGTTGAATTTCCTCTATTTGTGACATGGGTTGGATATTTTGAAATGGATGATGTTACGTGTACATAATGGTATTTATGTGGGTTTACACCTCCCTCACATGGAGGGGGGTGATTCTGCTTGTGCATTATTATTTTGGAATATATCTCCAGAAATAGTTGAAGAATGCTGCTAGCTGATTTATTATGTAATGTTTGAAATGAAGCTTATAAATGGGCAAAAAGCAGTAAGACACCACTTGGACATGTGAACACACTTTTTATTAAAATTGTAGATTTATGCATTGTATTTGAATATTTAAGATTGTAGATTAATGTATTGTATCTGTTTTGGCTACTTTTTACTTTTTACTTTTAATCTTTGTTCTGTCTTCATTTCTTCAAATTCATTTTGAACCACCTAGTTTATGGGATTCTTAATCTCATTTCATCAATTTTTATCGAAATTTATTAAAATTATCAGAATCGAATAGGGGGCTTAATAAAATTAATACTTTTTTTAGGAGTAATTAGCATAAAATATCTCCATCATTTGAGCTCATTGAGCAAATCATTCCTATTGTTTTAAATTTGGTTGTTGTACACTTATTTCACATTTTTTGGCAGAGTGGGGCCTTTTCATCTCCTTTCGTCAGTTCCGTTCATCAAATATGGATGATTGGTGCAAAATGTTCCTATAATTTGTCTTCATTGTGCAAAAGATATTTACCATCTCTTTTCTCTATTAAACTATCGTAAAACACTAATTTTTTTTTTTCATCTTTAAATAAACATATAAAAAGAAAGAAATAATATATAAAAATAAATAAATAATTGCAGCTAGAATTCCATAATTTTTAAAAATTTCAAAGGAGACTTATTTAAAATAATTGAAAACATACTGATTAAAGAAAAATATTTCATCTTCCAATAATCCAACCTATGCTACACCCATCCACCACCACTAAAATAATTAAAAAGAGAATTAAAAGTATTAAAATAATTATAAATAGAAAAATAAAAAATTAAAGAAAAAGGTTCTTCCTTATCCAATTTTGCACCTTACCACCGTTCACCACCACCCATTCTCCCCATCCCATTGTGGCACCATCTTCTTGTAATCAAGTTTCATGGTCCAATATCATTTTATTTTCATCAAAGTTACAAGACTATTTTTAGGGACTTAGCTGTTTTCAACAAATTCTTGTTTATGTCTTGTTCTTGATTACATATATATATTGGAAATATATATTTTTTTTCTTTTTGGTTAATATGTTTTAAATTAAGTTAAGTGGAACTCTTTTGCACTATTTATAAATAATAGTAATTTGACAGCATTTACTTATTTTTTGTATTATTTCTTTCTTTTTTTATTTGTTTATTTAAAGAAGATGGTAAAATTAATTATTTACAATGCTTTAATGAAAAAAAATAGATGATAAGAACATTTTTGTGCAATGAAGATAGATTATAGGAACTTTTTGTGCAATGAAAGCAAACGTATGCGCATTTTGCATCAATTACATATATTTGACAGAAGGAAACGATCGGATGAGATGGAAATAACTAGGTCCGCAAGAAAATGTTGAAATAAGGGTGCAAATACCAAATTTAAAACGATAAGGACGATTTACACAGTGAGTACAAGCTATGAGTATGTTTTGGCCCCCTTTTTTATTTTGTTTGTGAAGTCTTTTTAACTTGGATGATTAGCTATTTTTCATATTAAAATAACTTTGAGCTTTAGTATATATTGGTACAGAAAATTTACAAAATGCACCCTCAATTTATGGTATGATTGCACTTTACATGCCTTTTTTAAAATAAATTTTACCATTCACATACTACAAGATTTTGGTAATGGTAAATAAATAAAAATACACTTAACTGAAATAATAAATAACGCATTACATATCCCTATTTGGTGGGAATTAAAATCAGATTATTAACAGATTTTGATAAAAATATATTTTCAAAAAGTTGTGGGTCTTATAAAATATTTGAATAAAATTAATTGTTAACTTCAATAAAAATTTATAGCTTAATCCACACCAAACAGAAGTTATATATTACAATACATAATGTTTTGAATATTAAAATCTCTAATTATAGTTTTTTTTTCATTAAATATGTTTTTTTTTCCTGGCTAAGATGGAGATTTTTTGTTTAAAATTTATAAAATTTAATAGCTTATTTTTCTAATATCTAACATCAAATCAATTTTAGTTAGATAATAAAATATTGAAAAATTTGGAAAGTACTTGATTGGACTCTTCCAATATAGTAAAAACAAATAAAAATTCTTATTACTATATTCTAATGAACAAAAATGGTACAAAAATTAAAAATTTTAAAAATCAATTAATATAAATTTTCATATTAGATGTTATTTTATAGTTGGAAATCAATTGCCTATTCATTTTAATTTAGGATAATGCATAATGCATGGAATTTTATTTGCATTCATCATCTAATTTATAAAAAGTTATCGGCACAATTCTCTCAAAATAAAAATAAATTAGTTAGAAGACAATAATTTTTATAAGCATAATCATCTGTAACGTATATCAAAATTAATTTGGTGACGTGTAAACTCCTTTGATGTACATATGAATCATAATGATGTTACTTCTTCTTTTCTTTTTTTGTATGCATATTAATTCTAATTCACATTCATATGTGTAATCTTATTGCTTCCTTCTTCAGCTAGTATAAATTGGATTCTCAAGGTTCAACGACGCCCTCTACTTGAAACCTTCATAGAAAGGTTTGAGTCTATTGCCATTCACCTTGAAAACTTTTGAAGTTGCCAAACTTTGAATTTCAACTGCACCATGACGAAAAATATTAGTAACAACAAATGGTTCAATCCAACGGGAACACAACTTACCCGAAAATAAACGAAATTGGGAATGGTATAGAAGGACTTTTTGACCAACTTTAAACTCCTTCTTAGAGATCTTGTCATGGAAAGCCTTCGTCTTTTCCTTGTAAATCCTTGCACTCTCATAGGTGTTATTGCGAATTTCCTCTAACTCTTGAAGTTTCAACTTCCTATGTTCTCCACTTTCATCCATTTTCGTATTGAAACTTTTAATAGCCCAATAAGCATTGTGTTCTAATTCCACTAGGAGGTGGCATGATTTTCCAAACACTAATCGGTAAGTGGCATACCAACGAGTGTCTTAGATGTGGTCATGTATGCCTACAGAGCATCATTTAAGCGCAAACTCCAATCTTTTCTACTTGAGTTGACCATCTTTTCAATGATGGACTTGATTTCTTGATTTGACACCTCCACTTGTCCAGTAGTTTATGGGTGATAGGTGGTCGGCAACTTGTGGGTTATATTGATTTTCTAAGCAAGGCTTCCACAGTTCGATTGCAAAAATGAGTGCCTCGATCACTTATGAGAGCTCTTGGTATCCCAAATCTAGAGAATATGTTAGATGTGATAAAATTTGCAACAACTTTAGAATCATCAGTCATGGTGGCCTTAGCTTCCACCCATTTCGAAACATAATCAATAGCGAGCAAAACGTAAACATAACCAAAAGATACAGAAAACGGCCCCATGAAATCAGTGGCCCAAAACATCAAAAATTTTGCAAAGTAGTATAGGTGATTGTGGCATTTCATTTCGTTGGGATATATTATTTGTCTTTTGACAATGGTCGTATGACTTACAGAAAGAATATGCATCTCGAAATAAAGATGGCTAATAAAAATCACATTCTAACACTTTTCTCGCTGTCCTCTTTGATCCAAAGTAACCTCCACAAGCATAAGAGTGACAAAAGGTGATGATAGACATAGCTTCATTTCCAGAAATGCACCTTCTTATCACTTGATCTATATAATGCTTTCATAAGTATTGATCATCCCCCACATAGTATTTCGCCTCATTCTTGACCTTATCTTTTTGAGCCCTAGACAAATCAGGAGGGAGCATATTAGTAACCAAATAATTTATCATATTTGCATACCAAGGTGATGTCACGCCAGTAGATAACAATTGCTTGTCAAAGAATGTTTCTTGCAATTATAGTTCATCATCCACGTGAGCTAAATGGCTCAAATGATCAACAACACTATTTTCTATTCCTCTTGTCTTTGATCTCCAAATTGAATTCACTCAAGAGAAGTATCCATTGTATTAATCTTTGTTTTGCCTCCTTCTTTGTTATCAGATAACGAAGAGCTGCATGATCAGAATAACTAATTACTTTAGTATTAAATAAATAAGGACGAAATTTCTCTAAAGCAAAAACAACAGCCAAAAGTACTTTTTTAGTTGTGGAATAATTTTATTTAAAATTCTAAAAGCATAACAGATGGCATGAGATGTTTTTCAAATTCTTTTACCCAAAACTGCACCTACCACAAAGTTGCTTGCGTCGCACATTATCTTAACAGTTCCTTCAATTTATCAAATATCTTCTTACAAGCTTCATCAAACTCCAAAGCCACATTTTTTTGTAACAATTTACATAAGGGCAATGCTATTTTGGAGAAGTCCTTGATGAATCTGTAGTAGAAACCTGTATGTCCAAGTAAAGAATGGACTTCTCGTACACTGGTCGAGTAAGGTATAGATTGAATAATATTAATTCTTGCTTTATCTACCTCAATCCCCTTAGATGAAACAACATGCCCTAAAACTATGCCTTGTTCAACCATAAAATGACATTTTTTTCGAATTCAAGACGAGGTTAGTCTCTATGCATTTTTTAAGGACAAGTGTAAGATTATGCAAATAGTTATCCAAGGAGATTCTGTAGACTATAAAATCATCCATAAAGACCTCTATGATACGCTCAATGTAATATGAAAATATACTAACCATACACTGTTGAAAAGTGGCTGGAGAATTGTGATAAGTGTTTTTACACACTTATTCGGTCCACAAAATATGACTAATTATTGATAAATTTTGTTGAATATGATTTAATTCTATGCAATTTTATTTTGTAGGGCTATATTGATAGATATGATGGAACTCAAGAGAAAAGATGCGAAAAAGGCAAAGAT